ACCAGTCAAATGTTTGGACACACGAATGGGAAAGTGTCCAAACTTTTGACCGGTACTGTACTATAATATAATATACACAAAGAATATCGGCCGATATATCGATATTACCCTACCTGCGTCTGTGCGTCTCTCCAGTAGGCTATTTAATCTATTTTATTAATAAAAGTCACGGGGCAGCATTCTCAAGAAGTTTGTGTTCTCCTGAACGTTTGTACACGTGTGCAGCGCGATCTCCGATCTCACAAACCAAAATAATAGGCATGATTTTCTCAGGCCACATGTAAAATCATATGAATTATTATAAAGATTATTAAAATGAATACGTATGGATGACAGTTGATTACAATATTTCAGTTTATTTCCATCATTAGTAACAGTTTCCCCTGTGGGACAAATACAGTTAATATTAGTCATATATTAATAATAGGCTACTTCATTAACTTTGTTATTTACTATCCCTGTTGTAGTATTATTCATAAGAAAAAAACAACAATATTTTTTTTTCACCATGTTTCCAAATTCTCTACCCCAGGTCCAAAAGAAATGTAAAGAATGTACAAACTGAAAACATTAAATACTTTTGCAATCTATTTCCATTTGTTATTTTCAAAAGAGAAATACTGTCATGGATGTTTACAGAGCAGAGGTCACCTTTTTTAATTTCAATGGGAGAGATAGACTTTTGTTTGTCTTTTATTTATTATTATTTTGTGCTGTATTGTTGGTTACTGTGTTATTTCTGTTTCAAAAGCCAGCAATAAATAACACTTTAATAACTAAAGAGTGTTCATGTGATTTTATGCATTAGTAATGTTGGGAAATGAATAAATGCATAATAATCGTCATAATCGTGAAACCGTGATTATTCCTCAGACAATAATCGTACCAACAAAATCTATAATCGTTGCATCCCTATTTACTAGTGATGTTTCGTTCGTGAATGAATCATTCTTTTTGAACAAATTTTTTAGGTGAACGAATCGTTCTCGTAATCCATTGACTCATATTTCTCATTCATTGAAATTCCTCCTTCCAGAGTAGCGCGGCGCTATTGGCAGCGCATGCGCAGATCAGTGAACCGGGTAGCTCTGTGGACTGTTTCATCCTGTCAAAGAATGACTAAACCTCGAGCCAATAGCCTTCGAGTTTGAGATGTGACGGAGCATGTGATTTGTTGATTGTAGTGAACGAATACACCCTTCACTGAACGAGTTTCTTTTGAGTCTGAACGAGATCGAGAGATCTTCTCGTTCGTGAACATAATGACTGAACTGGTACATGTCGTTCGTGAACGAGTTGAATGAACTGCTACATCTCGTTCATGAATG